TGTGTGAGAGAGAGAGTGAGTGTGAGAGTGTGTGTGTGTGAGAGAGAGAGAGAGTGAGTGTGAGAGTGTGTGTGTGTGTGTGTGTGTGTGTAACTCCAGAGTAACCCCTGTGTCTCTCTCAGACCTGAACTCTCGTGAGCAGGAGAGCTTGCAGCCGGTGCATGTGATTAATGTGGATATTCAGGACAACCACGAGGAGGCGACGCTAGGAGCATTCCTCATCTGCGAGCTCTGCCAGTGTGTGAGTACAGACAGCAACACCTGAGTGTGTGTGTGTGTGTGTGTGTGTGTAACTCCAGAGTAACCCCTGTGTCTCTCTCAGACCTGAACTCTCGTGAGCAGGAGAGCTTGCAGCCGGTGCATGTGATTAATGTGGATATTCAGGACAACCACGAGGAGGCGACGCTAGGAGCATTCCTCATCTGCGAGCTCTGCCAGTGTGTGAGTACAGACAGCAACACCTGGACTTACTGCTCGGAGTTCAATACAGTTATCCTGTGCCGATTCATTTGTGTTCAGTTCAGTTCAGTGGATGTTCATGAAAGCATACTTACACTAATTGTTTCACTGATTGTGCAAATCTCTGTAAGAGTGGTTTCACCATTTTACAAGAAGTCAGGGTTATTATAGTTAACTACACAACAAAAAAATAAATGCATTTAATAAAGCTATTAAAAGTGTAATTTGAGAAATAATTAATTTAACTGAAATAAAATGTTACTCGTTTAACATAATTTTATATATTATTTAACTTATTTCAGAAAACGAATACAGAGTGCAAGTCTTAAAGGGTAAAGTGTTTTTTTTTTTTTTATTAAAAAAAGAAAACAAATAACTAAAATAGAATTAGAATAGAGTGTGCTAGAGTTAGATGGTCAAATAAGGATGGAAGAGATGTGTTTTAAAGTGGAATAATGTATATTATAAAATTTTTATAATATATCAAATTAAAATATATATATATAATTTTGTTATTAAAATTACAATGAGTTTTACCAGTTAGTGGTGGGTGTTTCATATTTTACATAAAAATATAAAAAATAAAACACATTTCAAACTACAGTATAATAGTTTCTTAGTGATGCAAAAATAAGTAATAATAAAATAAACGTGTAAATTGTCGCTGTTAATCAAATGCACTCATTTACACAAGAATGCACGTTTGTCACATCTTTGTTTTTAGCACAAAATTAGTAAAGATCCGTGTTCTTGAGCAGAGGACCGTTCTTACACAATCTCTGAAATCCAGAAGAAGTGCAATAACTCAAAGCAGAGGCGGTTTGCATCAGAAGTGTTTTTGACGCGTGCTTGGCTCCGTCTCAGATTCAGCACACGGACGACATGGAGAACGAGATGGACGAGCTGCTGCAGGAGTTCGAGGAGAAGAGCCAGCGGCCGTTCCTGCACACCGTCTGCTTCTACTGACCGCCGAAGCTCCGGCTGCACCCCGGTCGCTCCGTTTACCGCCGACGCCAGGATCGGCCCCGCGGCGGACTGCAGGAACATCGCAGAGCACGAAACCAAAGGGTTCTAGAGTAAACCTGACGCGAGAACCTGCCTAACGAGACCCTAACGAGTCTGTTCCAGCTGGACGCTGACTATATTTAGAGGATGTAATGATTCGTAACTCTGGCGGACGGGATGCGTTATCTTTTGGGTTTCTCGTCAATTTATTTCAGCGTTATTTAAAGATGGGATTTGATACCTGTTGAGCATATTTTGTTTTTCTTTGATTTTGTAAATGATAGACGATTCTATAATTGTACCTGAAGCAGCCCAGAGTGCCTGAAATTATTGTTGTAAATATTGCGCTATAAATGAATAAAGCGTCGATGAATCTCGGTGATTGTGTGTTTTTCTGTATTAAGTAGCACGGCTTTACTACGTAACTACACGCCGCCAAGTTACTTCGGAAATGTAATCGGGTACAGATTACAAGTTAGCTTATTTAAGATGTAACGAGTAGAGTAACTATTTAAATTGCTTTATTAATGCGTTTGATTGTTTTTCTAAATTTCTAACGAACGTTTTCAACTGTTAATGATTTTGAAGCATTTAAAGCAGGCGGGGTTCACCTTACGGTAGAAATCCGTGAGTTATATTAATATCTGTAAAACCACAGTTTTACTACGAATACCATGGTTAAGCTATTGTTAGTGTCGCGAAACCATGGCTAATTTGTGGTCACCATGGTAACCACAGTAGTATAGTTTGTATTTGTGGTGTTTTTGTAAGGACGTAGCGCGTCCACGATAATAGCGAACTACAATGATTGCCGGAGGATATCGATCGAAACGATTTTGTTTCCAGCTTACGAACGATAGAAATAGTGTCAACCAATCAGAATCCGCGCGCCTTTAAAGGGCTCGAGCATTTAAAGCGGCAGACGCTTAGAATAAACAAAGTTTTTCAATAGAACTTTCATACTTGAAATGAAGTTTCGATTGCTGTGTTAAATTTAGACCTGCTTATCATATATTATTTTTACAGCGTTGCTCATTATAACCAATCCCGCTTGGTATATAAAGTTCTTTCACTGCATGATTCAGAATCATAAAATGCATTTAGAATGCTCCCAAAATTCAACACATGGGGGCAGAAACTTTATATATTAATATAATTTCATATAGTTGATCAAAATCACACGAAGAGTGCCATTTTTTTCGTACCAATCAAAAATGTGATGTTGATTTTATGCAACAGTTCAATAAACAAGAAGTTAATATTAAGAGACTTGCGTGTTAGACGCCATATTGCCTGGTTTTGCGCTATTTCGGCAACAGAAAGATTCGTCTCTTTTGGCTCGGGTCCCTAAGAAGAGCCGGCTCTTGCGACTCCCAAATGGCTCTTTATTTAGTGTCACTCCGAGCCTTCTATTTGATTATTTTATTTTAAATAGAAACCGTTTCTAAAATAGAAATGTCACGGCTAGCTAGGATTTGATTTCAAAAACAGTATCATATCTACTAAACTGCTACTAGTTATTATGATTTTATGATCTGTATTGATCTCATATTGATCACACTGAAACTACACACTGGGCTTCCTCTGGGGTTCAAACATGTGTTTGTGGAACACTCAGCGAGCGACATCTTGTCTAGAAACAGCCGTATACGCCTAATTTTTCATGCAAGAACACACACACACACACAAAATAATTGTATATATATATATAATTTGTAAGCATATCATTTAAATTGTGACGACCCCTGTCGTTACTTTGTGGAATGGCTGTAGGAGTCCATGGACTACGTTGATTGGCCGTCGTTTGGGACACCTGCTCTCTATCAGACGCTCCTTTTAAAAGAGGCCTCCGCTTGAGCTAGAGGAGGGGCTCTGGTTTTGGACAATTGGTTTTGTGACTCGTTTGGCTTGTGTTTGCTTTTGCACTCCAACACGCAGTACACTACATTCCACCACATCCATACATTTCGCATTACACCTTGGCATTACTGATGTTTCCAGTACATAGTTGTTTTCTTTACTTTTTTTTATGTGATTATAGCTTTTGAATAAATTATATTCGAAGCTACCCGTTTGGTTCGCGTGTGTTCTGTTTGTTGCTTCCCTTGAGCCATGGGTCGTAACAAAATATATGTTTAACCCTCAAGATATACAAAAAATAAATGTGCTTAAATATTACTATTTTTTAGGTAAATATTTTTTCTACCATACATGTGCATTTTTTTCCATCTTCAAAAATATTATTTAAAAATAGAAATATATATTTTTAAAAGAATTTTAAAATGTGTTGTCCTCCATGTATTTAAATCCAAGAAATTACATTCACGTTCCATTTGGAGAAAAAAAACAAATTAATTTTATTAGTTGTCTATAACACATGTGAACATATTTGAATAAAAATAATGATAAAATCTAAATCTAGGCTATATTTTGAAATATATTATAATAGTTATAATATCATAATATTTTATATATATAAATATTTTTGTATATGAAGGCTGAATATTTTCAATTTCAAAAATACATTTAATTGAGCTTCACTCAATGAAACGTCACAGTACACACACACACACACACACACAGATTTATTGATTTCTTTTCCAAATTGCATTGACTGCTCTAAAATATGAGACACCAATGTTTCAGTTCAGGACAGGACATATGCTTACACACACACACACTCACACACACAGACACACACACACACACAGACTCACACATACTCACACACACGCACACACACACACGCACACACACACACACACACTCACACAGACTCACACACACAGACACGCGCACACACACACGCACACACAGACTCACACACACACACGCACACACAGACTCACACACACACACACACTCACACACACACTCTCTCACACACA